CCCTACTGGAACAACAGAGACGCCCACAACCTTATCCACCGAGCACCCTACTGGAACAACAGAGACGCCCACAACCTTATCCACCGAGCACCCTACTGGAACAACAGAGACGCCCACAACCTTATCCACCGAGCACCCTACTGGAACAACAGAGACGCCCACAACCTTATCCACCGAGCACCCTACTGGAACAACAGAGACGCCCACAACCTTATCCACCGAGCACCCTACTGGAACAACAGAGACGCCCACAACCTTATCCACCGAGCACCCTACTGGAACAACAGAGACGCCCACAACCTTATCCACCGAGCACCCTACTGGAACAACAGAGACGCCCACAACCTTATCCACCGAGCACCCTACTGGAACAACAGAGACGCCCACAACCTTATCCACCGAGCACCCTACTGGAACAACAGAGACGCCCACAACCTTATCCACCGAGCACCCTACTGGAACAACAGAGACGCCCACAACCTTATCCACCGAGCACCCTACTGGAACAACAGAGACGCCCACAACCTTATCCACCGAGCACCCTACTGGAACAACAGAGACGCCCACAACCTTATCCACCGAGCACCCTACTGGAACAACAGAGACGCCCACAACCTTATCCACCGAGCACCCTACTGGAACAACAGAGACGCCCACAACCTTATCCACCGAGCACCCTACTGGAACAACAGAGACGCCCACAACCTTATCCACCGAGCACCCTACTGGAACAACAGAGACGCCCACAACCTTATCCACCGAGCACCCTACTGGAACAACAGAGACGCCCACAACCTTATCCACCGAGCACCCTACTGGAACAACAGAGACGCCCACAACCTTATCCACCGAGCACCCTACTGGAACAACAGAGACGCCCACAACCTTATCCACCGAGCACCCTACTGGAACAACAGAGACGCCCACAACCTTATCCACCGAGCACCCTACTGGAACAACAGAGACGCCCACAACCTTATCCACCGAGCACCCTACTGGAACAACAGAGACGCCCACAACCTTATCCACCGAGCACTCTACTGGAACAACAGAGACGCCCACAACCTTATCCACCGAGCACCCTACTGGAACAACAGAGACGCCCACAACCTTATCCACCGAGCACCCTACTGGAACAACAGAGACGCCCACAACCTTATCCACCGAGCACCCTACTGGAACAACAGAGATGCCCACAACCTTATCCACCGAGCACCCTACTGGACAACAGAGACGCCCACAACCTTATCCACCGAGCACCCTACTGGAACAACAGAGACGCCCACAACCTTATCCACCGAGCACCCTACTGGAACAACAGAGACGCCCACAACCTTATCCACCGAGCACCCTACTGGAACAACAGAGACCCCACAACCTTATCCACCGAGCACCCTACTGGAACAACAGAGACGCCCACAACCTTATCCACCGAGCACTCTACTGGAACAACAGAGACGCCCACAACCTTATCCACCGAGCACTCTACTGGAACAAAACAGAGACGCCCACAACCTTATCCACCGAGCACTCTACCAAAACTGTAACCACCTCTAAAACATCCGTGCAGCCAACAACAGAGGTTCCAAGAACTTCTTTCCCTGAGCATTCTACTGAAATTGCACTCAGTTCTGATACATCCATTACTCAGTCTGTTGCTAGTGGACCCACTTCTAACATCATTACACAGTCCACCTCATCACCTACAAACTCTAAACCAAGCATTTTGCCAAGTATAAAACCAACAACATATCAACCTACTACATCAAAGTCATCTCTCTCAGACAACAACACTGATACCTGACGCTACAACAACTAAAATATCAACAATCTCTACTATCAAAACACCACCAGTTACATGGCCAAGTAAGTCTTTTTTGCTATATTTCCCCTTGCCTTTTCATCTTTTTCAGATTCCTAATTAATTCACCTTGCAGACATGAAAAGATTTATAGTTTTATTGTCCGGATTTATTATTAACGACTAGGGTAAAATAACGAATATTCATTGACTCATTATATCAATATTGCGAATATTTCTTCTAGAATGTAAATTTTGTTACAGCTATATCATATTCACAAAAACATGTTAATATCAGATTTATATTGCTACAAAAAAAAAAAAAAAAGTCAATTTTATTTATATTTATTTATTATTATATTAACCCCCCATGGCGGTATTCCCGAGTGTAGCTCGGGGTAAAATTTCAGTACCAAGAGCGGTAACCCCGAGCTACACTCGTGCTTACCATGCGGCGTTGCTCAGGGATTCCCTGCAGCACTTACCTTGTCCTTCGATCCCACGATGTGTCCCCTGCAGCATCCCCAGCCATCTCCTCCGGCCGATGCCGGCATCCGGCTTCCATGTTCCGGTCCCTGTGACGTTGGGACGTACGGGCGCCGGAACCGGCGGCAAATTTGAAATTTTTTAAAAATGTCATTTTTTAAAAAATGATTATTATATAGTAAAACATTGCTGTTTCAATGCATTTCACATATATTTTGTCCCTACTGCTTTGTCCTGTGCCCTGCCTACATTTTGACTGTTCTTTCTGCCTGGAAACTTAGAAAAGTCCATGGCGTCCAAAAAGCGTCCCTTTAGGTCAAAAGCGGTTTTAGACCGGCTAGAGAACAGCGATAGTAAATCAGAACCACTTGCAGAATTGAGTGATAATGATTCGTGGGGGAAATTCATCATCAGACACTGAAAACGATTTTGCGACTTTGCTCAGCGATGTGCGAATTTGCCTCTGTATTTCACATTTCAGTGTTTTTGGTTTGATTATATTATTGAATTAAATTTATTATTATTATATTATTATTTTTTATTAAATTATAATTTATGATTTCGTGTTTCAAGTTTTATCATACCCGGGATGTTTACTAGACTCTTGTTCGGACAGATTTCAGTGAGTTATTCCTAAAAATTACAGGACTACAATAAAAAACTACATATATCCATGCAAAATAATGTACCGCTTTCAGCACCAAAAATCGGAAATATATCAGACCGCCAGGGAGGTTAATTTGTTTCTAGAGGATTTTTTTAATTAATATATCAGCAATAATTATTATATGTAGCATTATTCTTATAATTGTTTTTAAAACATATGAAAGCAATCAGAATTCCTGGTTACTGGTTCAACGTTACTATTTTCTGAAAAATAGAGGTAGGGTCACCTTTTTTCTCTATCAGTATGTTCCGATCTAAAGCACCTACCATACATTTTGCAATCTAATTGAACAAACTTCTTTCAATCTACCTAAAATTATGATGGAGGAGAGCCTACCTGACCAAATTGCAAAAAGGGTGGATTATTTCAGTAGGACTTCTACTACAAAGTTTTGGCAGATCTAAAAAAGAATAAATAGAGGTTACTCATCCAGATTGCAAGGGGTATGGCCAATTTAAGGGTGGGATCTGTCACCACAATGTGCTCAGATTAAGAAATAAATGAATGTACTGCATATCCATACCATGCCAATACCAATCTGAGATTTCGCTAATTAATTTAAAAACTTTAGGAATTTGTAAACTTATTTAATGTCTTTGCAGGAGGCAGTTGTAAAAATGATGGTTATTATGATGGAACTAGGTGTGTCTGCATAAGTGAAATCTTCTACGGAAACAACTGTGAATTCCTTGTGAGTGAGATCAAACACAGTAAGTTTATTTCCATTCTAAAAAAAATTATTTCACAAAGTAATGGTGGGTCATGAAATCTGAGAAGGTACCTGGATGTCATCCAGAGCGCCCTGTAGTACAGAGAACCATTCACAACAATTGGTGCTTCAAGGGAACGTACACGTAAAGGTGCCCATATGGTTATTACCTGAGATGACTGGGTGTGGGCTCCACCAACTAGGAGTCTGTGATGAGACCAAAAATTGGAGAAAGACATAAAATAAAAATTCAGGATAGTAAAAAGGTTCGGTCTGAGCAAATAATCTACAGTGGGTGACTGGGGACAAAGAGAAGGCACATTTATTAAATACATTTTCAGCTCTGTGTATACAAAGGAGCATGGGGGGGGGGCTCTTGTCCATAATGGGTATGGTATTCACACAGCTCCAGATGGTCCACATTGGCTCACAATTGATATGATCCAAAAATATTTAGACAGAATAAAAAGGTGAATAAAGCACCTGGACCAGGGGGATCAGGAAGGGATTTTTTTTCCTGCAGGAGCAAATTGCATCATGCTTTGCTGGGTTTTTTTTGCCTTCCTCTGGATCAACTGTGGGTATAGGATTATAACTTTTTTTTTTAATGGTTGAACTGGATGGACTTTTGTCTTTTTTCAGCCAGACTAACTATGTAACTATCCCTTATGGTGCAGTATTTTTTTTAAATAAGCATGTCTATGTACTGTACATCTATGAAGTTGCTTGAACTGTGATTCACAACTTGAAAAATTTACAGAGACAGTAATACAAGCATGCACTCTGTGCTAAGATCACAAAAGTTGATATTTTAATCCCGTTTTATTTTCTGTTGCCTAGAAAAACCTTAAAATGGTTTGTAAAGGCTCAAGGTTATTTAGCAGTTTATATTTACTAAAATAATTGCATTTTCATGTTCTGTGTACTGTGGGATACCGGATAGAGTTAATACAGGGTCTGGGGAGACCTGGTATAGTGAATACAGGGTCCGGGGAGACCTGGTATAGTGAATACAGGGTCCTGGGAGACCAGATATAGTGAATGCAAGGTCCAGGGAGACCAGATATAGTGAATGCAGGGTCCGGGGAGAGCAGATATAGTGAATGCAGGGTCCGGGGAGACCAGATATAGTGAATTTAGGGTCCTGGGAGACCAGATATAGGGAATTTAGGGTCCTGGGAGACCAGATATAGTGAATGCAGGGTCAGGAGAGACCAGATATAATGAATGCTGGGTCCTGGGAGACCTGATATAGTGAATGCAGGGTCCGGGGAGAGCAGATATACTTCATGCAGGGTCCTGGGAGACCAGATATAGTGAATGCAGGGTCCGGGGAGAGCGGATATAGTGAATGCAGGGTCTGGGGAGACCAGGTATAGTGAATGCAGGGTCTGGGGAGACCAGGTATAGTGAATGCAGGGTCTGGGGAGACCAGATATAGTGAATGAAGGGTCAGGGGAGACCAGATATAGTGAATGCAGGGTCCTGGGAGACCAGATATAGTGAATGCAGGGTCTGGGGAGACCAGGTATAGTGAATGCAGGGTCCGGGGAGACCAGATATAGTAAATGCAGGGTCCGGGGAGACCAGATATAATGAATGCAGGGTACGGGGAGACCAGATATGGTGAATGCAGGGTCCAGGGAGACCAGATATAGTGAATGCAGGGTCCGGGGGAGAGCAGATATAGTGAATGCAGGGTCCTAAGAGACCAGATATAGTGAATTCAGGGTCCGGGAGACCAGATATATAATGAATTCAGGGTACGGGGAGACCAGATATGGTGAATGCAGGGTCGAGGGAGAGCAGATATAGTGAATGCAGGGTCCGGGGAGACCAGATATAGTGAATGCAGGGTCCGGGTAGACCCGGATATAGTGAATGCAGGGTCCAGGGTTTAATAACACTTTATCAACAAAATAAATGCAGCTAAGTAATCATTATTACATTATTTAATGCATTTTAATAAATGTTAGTATTGACTTGGTACCAGGCTCTTGCTATTCACTGTAAAGTCTGTACAGCAGAGCTCAGAGAGGAGAAGAGAGCAGAGTGACAGAGAGATGAGCTCATCAGTGTGCTGCTTCTCCTTTTACTGTCCAGTCACATGGTGGGGGTGGTAAGGGGTTTGGTAACAAAAGTAAAACTGCAACAGATATAGATCAAGTCCCTTTCCCTGAGATACATGGCAGTGCTGTTTTGGCAGAGCTGTATAAAAATTAGGACTAGATGGACAGAAATACAAATACTTTGGAAAGTAAAACAGCTTCCACTAATGCATTTCATCTCCATATTTAGCTATTTGCATGGAGTTTAATAAAAAAAAGGCATATTTTGTCAGTTAACTATAATGCTGTTAAATTAGCATCCAACATTTCTTCCATATCATTTTTATGCTCATAACTTAAAGTAGGCAAAACTTTTTTTTTCATTTTGTATATAGAGTAAGGGAGGGTTTTAACCGCTGTCAGATTATCCTTAATTTTCTGTCCCGTAGCCAAAGCAGGAAGTGAGAGGAAATCCCTCCAAAGTGAAGGCATCACTGGTTGTCGCCAAAATTTGTGTCTCCATTGGGAGGTTTACCCTCTAGTCCTGTTCTGGTGGCAACCCAAAATTTTTCTTTTTCTTTCACTTTCACTCTCGGTGATCATGGCAAACAGATCAAATAGAGGGGGTGAATCTCCCTAACAGGGGGCACAGACAACACTAAAATCCTGGTGTTCTAATCCCTCGTCGCTCCATCTAAAAATACAACTTTCTTTGCCTTTTGTTATAATTTGAAATGTGCATGGAAAACACACTAAAGCTTGACCCGTGTTTGTCTTTATAGAAAAGGTCGTTGCCAAAGTAACAGTTGAAATTTACATACTTGAAAGTTTTCCTCCAGAGCTGAAGGACAAAGAAAGTGGCAAATACCTACTATATAAAAAGAATTTTCTGAATCAGGTAAGCGTATATTTTGATGGCAAGCACCCGATTTAAGGGGATCTGAAAAGGGTATGGGTTGTAAACGTGATACAAGAAGTAATGTAAACAAATGTATTGACTTTAGAGTTGTTCTTCACATTTTTATAATGCATTTAAAATACCTTGCTAGGACCCTGGCCTGTGCTCAACATAAAATTCTTGCAGGACCAGAAACCATCTTATGAAAAGTCTGTCCCCAGCAAATCAAGGATATTCAAGATGGGTCCAAAGCTTTACTAAGCTATCACATCGTGGGTACAAAAAGCCATGTTTTGAAGTCTCCCGGGACCCCTTCACATGCCTCCAAAACATGGTCTTTTTTTTTAAACAAGATGTGATCGTAAATGAAGCTTTGGACTCATCTTGAAGATCCTTGATTTGCTGGTGACATACTTTTCGGTTTGAATGTCTTCAGTTTCCAGCTGGTGGTCGCTTGCAGCAGCCATTTACATTTACAGCAACTGTCAGGAACGACACCATCTTGTGACCCCTTGCATTTTTTTGCTTGTTCTGAGCCAACCACTGTAGCGGAGAATGGCCTGTAATCAGTCAGAACCATCTGCCCAAAATGTACCCTAATGTCCACTTTATGGCCAGATGCTTCCTTTCCACCACTGAATAGTTCCTCTCTGCAGGGATTAGTTTCTGGTTTAGGTATGCCACTGGATTTGAAAAGATCTTGTGAAAAGTATGTCACCAGCACACCGAGAATATTCAAGAAGCTTTATTAAGTGATCACATCATGGGTACAAAAAAACATGTTTTGGAGTCTCCCAGGACCCCTTCCTCAGGCATGTGTCAAATGATGGTGCCTGATAAAGGGGTCCTGCAAGGCTCCAAAACATGGCTTTTTTGTGCCCATGATGTGATCGTAAATGAAGCTTTGGACTAGTCTTGAAGATCCTTGATTTGCTGGTGACATACTTTTCGGTTTGAATGTCTTCAGTTTCCAGCCCGTGGTCGCTTGCAGCACCCACTTACATTTACAGCAGCTATCAGAAACGACAACATCTTGTGAACCCTTGCATCTTTTTGCTTGTTCTGAGCCAACCACTGTAGCGGAGAATGGTCTATAATCAGTCAGAATCATCTGCCCAAAATGTACCATAATGTCCACTTTATGGCCAGACGCTTCCTTTCCACCACTGAATAGTTCCTCTCTGCAGGGATTAGTTTCTAGCAGGGCGGACTGACCATTTGAAAACTCGGGCAGTGCCCGAGGGCCCAGGGTCAGTAGGGGGCCCCATGAGATGCCCCTGGTACCTTTTTCATAGGCTTTTTTAAGTTTGGGCAAGGAAACAGGGGCCCCATGATCCCCTATTGCCCGGGGGCCCCATGAGTTTGTCAGTCCTGCCTCTGGTTTTTCTAGTTTAGGTATGCCACTGGATGTTCTTCAGGACCCTGGTCACTGCTGACACCCCATTCATTTCCTGAGATAATACTGCTCCTAAGTCAACATCAGAGGCAACTGTTTGTACAAAAAAATTCTTGAGAAAATTCACACCATGCTGTGATGACTATGTGACAATGGCACTTTTATCCCACACAAAGAGTTTTTAGCTTATGGATACGCGGTGTAAAGTGCCAGATGACTGAAAGTGATTGGCACTGGGGTTTTGGATAAAGGAGAAGTTTGGAGTTTGTAAAAAAACAAATATATAATAAGTAATATTGTAAATATATATTGTAAGGAGGCTTGAGAGTGGCTAGTAATTGCACAAGTCCCTGCCCCGCTTCTTCTCCTACTAAAACAACAACCCACCTGCTTGAGGTTTAACCCTCTGCCATCCTGTGGCCATCTCCGTACCAGGGGCCTCCTCATGACATCGCTGGCCATTTACCTTTATATCCCAAGGAAGGAATGTCCACACAAAAAGTTAGGTTTGCTGCACTTTAATGATGGTACCTTAAAAGTATTATTTATTTCAGGTACTTATAAAAAGCTGACAATTTACGGAGCGCTTGACATATATATTATTGTACATTCAAATCAGTCCCTAACCCTCAAGGGTCGTACCATCTAAGCTTCCTAACTTAGATTCATACACATACTGGGGCCAATTTAGACAGGAGCCAATTAACCTACCTGCATGTCTTAGGAGTGTGGGAGGAAACCCACACAGGCACAGGGAGAACACATGAAAACTTCAGGCAGGTGATGCTGTGGTTGGGATTTAAACCAATGACCCTAGTACTGCCAGGAGGAAGTGCTAAGCATTTAGCCACTGTGCTGCACAGTCACATCACTTGACAGCATTTTGCCAATCATATATAGTGGATGATCCACAGCAGTCACATGTGAAAGCAGAGCACAGTACGTTTTAGTAAGCTATCTTACCTACTCAGTCTTTCTCCTTCTAGAGTATTCAGTACTCACTCAGAGGGTTCTGATCTGTCTTAATCTGCCTGTGTCCTGCTTACATCAAGGTCTTTAGAGTCCTTTTTTAGTTTTGGATGGACTGAGATTTAAACCTTATGTGAGGTATCATATAAAATATATATATATATATATGTATATATATATATATATATATATATATATTATATATATATATATTTCAATAAAAGGCCATTATTCCAAACTTTATTAAAATGATCTAAAAGATTCACAAATAAATTACATACAAAAAAATTATAAACACAGTGTTGGCATAATTGCAGAAACACGACTTAATATATTGGATACTTAAGTATGCCACATTTGTCCATGATGTGCGTATATGATATGCCTTTCCAGTGGCTTGACAATACGAGATATAACTTTAGGACAAGGCCAATGCATTTCAGAGAAGACTACTTCTTCAGAGGATAAAATGGGGATTTGCCATATCTGAAACATAGTTGTATTTTGAGTATATACTCATAAGAAATATTTATTGTATAAACAACACATTACAATGCATCACAGAGTACCAATCACACAGTTCACACCATACTTACATAACATATTACCAACAACATATTGTAGATGTAATTGAAGATTAAACTAGTACAGGAAAGTGGCTACCAGGAGATTGCTTGTCCACCGTGGGCCCGGGTGACAAAACACCATCATTAGCGCACGTCCTCTGAGGCCACCTAGCACATAGCAAAAAGGGGGATAATCCAGTAGGGACCAACAACACCCATACAAGCAGTGTCGAAGGTGCTGGGTGTACTAGATATGGCTGTACCGTGGACCCCAACAGCCCAATATGTATATGGTTCCCAATCATCCACTCATCCACTCCCTCATCATATCACGACTCGACTACTGCAACTCCCTCCTCACTGGCCTGCCTCGCCGCTGGCTATCCCCGCTTCAGTTGATCCTGAATACGGCTGCCAGACTCATTCACCTTTCCAACTGCTCCATCTCCGCCACCCCCCTGTGCCAATCCCTCCACTGGCTTCCGATTGCGCAACAGAACAAATTCAAAATCCTAACGCTGACGTACAAAGCTGTCCACCATACTGCCCCGAACTACATCACCGACCTAATATCCAAGTACCACCCAACACACACACTCCGCTCCTCACAAGACCTCCTTCTCTCTAGTTCCCTGGTCTCCTCCTCCCATGCCCACCTCCAGGATTTCTCCAGGGTGTCACCCATCCTCTGGAACTCCCTGCCCCAACCCATCAGATTATTACCTACTCTCCTCTCCTTTAGGCGCACCCTGAAAACCCATCTCTTCAGGGAAGCCTACCCCACCCCCTGCTAACTTACCGACCTCCTCCTCTACTCTTCCTACCACTCCATCCCCCACAGCTATCTCCTCCTGTACCACCATCCCCTCCCTCCTAGATTGTAAGCTCGAAAGAGCAGGGCCCTCAATCCCCTCATGTTTTGCATTGTATTGGTATTGTTCTGTCACATGTTCTGTCCCCCTCTGTAATGTACAGCGCTGAGCGAACT